ACACTTTGGTCACAGCAATCTGATACTTCTTCTGCGTGGGCTGGCATAGGTCGATTAGGCGGCCGTACTGGAGAAAGAAAAAAACAACACATTTATCGAACACTATTATACATGTAGAGGGGAAGAGTAACGCTGCAGTCATCAAGCTTATCTGATTTAATAACATCATCATGAATATTGTCACAGTGGGCGTACCACAGAGCCGGGGTAGAGTCTTTTGATACTCTCCATGATCTCTGCCTTGCGCTGCTGGCGGCTGTTCTCCTGCCTGTCGATTCTGGCGTCTCCAAGCTGCTCCATCACCTGCAGCCAAAGAACAAAACAATCAAGTTAACCAACCATCAACCATCACTACTTTTCACAGCTGACATCTTGACTTGTCAAACAGTGGTGTTACTAATTCAATTAAGAAAACTTCTGCCAGTGACGAACCCTCGATTACTTGCACACCTATCTGTCATTTATATAATCAGTCACACACGTGTGCTTTTCCCTCTTATGTAGAGAGAAATGTCTATGAATTCTTTAACAGAAGTTTAGTTCTTTGCTCTCTTTTACACTACAGGTTAACTAAACATGCAGCTTCCCATCTCTCCTACAGTGACACAAGAGACACAGTGACGGGGTAAAATGGGCAAACATGAATCAAAGGTCTTCAGGGAATGGTCTCCAACCTTTCAGAAATGATAAACTGTCAGCTAAGATGACAGCATTTCAAGTCATGTGCATAGCGTACCTGGTTAAGCTCCGTGTTAATCTCATCTATTCTCCTCTTGGCCGACTCCACCTCCTCCGTGAGCTCCTCCTCCATGCGTTTCTGTTCATCAAGCGACTGCCTGAGGGGTAACAGAAGAAAAGAGGGTGAATGAATGAGTATAATTGAGCGTCTATGGATACAATTATGGTTCCTGAACCCTTTTAAATCAATACAACAGGATCAGAGTAGCATACCTGCTGGTCGTGATGTAATCCTCTAATTTCTCAATGCGTTTCTGGTTTTCTTCTATTTCACGGATCTTCTGTTTGATTTTGGCCTGGACAGAGATATAAATATATGGTAGTATGCATTCCAATCATCGAGAATAAATGTGTTCTGGCACGCAATCAATATTTCATTTACTTCTGTCTCCACTTTCTTCCTCTCCTCCAAGTCAAGACGGTCCTGGTCAGCCTTCTGGTCGCGGTTGAACTTCTCCAGCTCCTGTGCTAAAGTAGCAGCACGTTTACTGGCCTCCTCCTTCAGACGATGGTATTGTTTGACCTGAGGGGGGAAAGTTGCAAATATTTTAGCTTCATCGACTTCAAGACAAATTCTTATATCTAAATAAATTGTGAACTAAAATGTATCTGACCTGGTTTTCCTCCAGAGTGAGGTCCTGTCCCTGGCTCTGCGCCTCCTCCTCCATACGCTCCTCAAACTCTTGCTTTGCCAGCTCCACCGCCTTCATCTCTTTATCCAGCTCGTCCATGTCCCCCTTGCGTTTCTTGTACATCTTCTGGGCATTTTGCAATGATTTGCGCGCTGCCTCAAGCTTCTTGATTTTGTGTGAGGTGTTCTCTTTGGCCTTGATGTACTGCGGCCTCTTTTGGTTCAACTCAGAGTCTTTCTCTCTGTGGGCAGAGTCAAGTGATTAGCAAGGCCCTTTTCAGGTTGTCAAACGTAATTGCTTTAACAGTGGCTCAGAAAGGAAATACATACAAGTGAATTGTTAGGATACCATCAATTCACTCTCACTTACTTGATTTCTTTCTCAATGGTCTGCTGCTCCCTCATCAGCCTGCCCAGCTCCTTCTTCTTGTCCTTCAGCTCCTCCTCCACGTGGTCCATCTTCTTACGGTCCTTGTCAATCTCCTTGTTGCGCTGGCTCAGCTCTTTGTTCAGCTTCTCAATCTCAGTCTCGTTGTGGTAGAGCTTGAAGAGCTGCAACTGAACACTAGCCCTGGCCACTTCATCTTTCAAACGCTGGTAACGTTCAGCCTGGTGAAATGATAAGTGGGAAGAAATCACATGATATGATGGAGAGCATTCTTTGTTTTTAGTGAAGTTATGGCTGCTATTTAACCAGCAATTGCATCTTTCTTCATGAGTGTGAAATATGAGACTTTAAATGGGGGTTTAAGACAAGATTGCACAAACTAATAACACATTTCATTTCCCACTTAATTCCCACAATACAGATAAGCTTTCAAATCTAAGAGCAAAGGTTACATGAAGAATTTTAAAATTTAGTTTATTTAGACTGACCAAAAAGTACCCACCTCCTCTTTTTCTTGCTTAGCTTCTTTGCGCTCAGCAGCAATGTTTTTCTTCCGATGATAATTAAATTGTGTGTCCTCCTCAGCTTTCACCATCTCTTTCTTCCTGCGGTCGTACTCCTGGGCCAGCTCTCCAGAGCGGGAGATTTCCTCGAACAGAGCAGTACGCTCTTTGGGGTTTTTCATGGCAATAGACTCTACAGCTCCCTGGAGAAGAAGGAAAACATAAGAAAATATAAAAACCTTTGCACCCCCAATATAATGGTAGGGGAAACACTGCTTTGGTAGCAACATATTACCAGATATTCAATCAATACTGGATCATTTACTGTATATATTTGACCATCACTCTGATTGTTTCAGACACATTTAAACAGTAATATCCATTAAATGCACTCTAAGGCTAGTATTAACTCCACATTCTCCATGGATGTTTGTCAGAATGTATTTTGTTTAATATCAACTATTTAATATCCTCAAACTAAACAAAGAATGCATGTTCATCTAAAAATGTAATCAGCAATTGTATTCATGATAAACACCACAGAGGATGACTGGACATAAATCACAGCTTTCTCAGGTTAGTGCAGAAACAATGTGAAAAACACAAATACATACATTTTGTCTTGGAAAGATTTTAGATTTGACTCTCACCTGGAAGACCAGGAAGTTCCTCGCCTTAATCAGAATACCGAGTTTTTCCAGTTCTTCACTGTATTCAGGCAGGCTCACCACTTTGCTATTGATGCGGTACTCAGAGGAGGAACCTAATGCACACGCCAGAGGGAAATTAAACGTTTAGTGTTCAATGTCATTATATAAAACAACATTAACACAAATAGAATTAATTATGAAGTGACTTTCTACCTTAACCAACAAAGTGTTAAAAAAGGGTTTAAAAAAAAGATGGCTTCATCTGAGTTTCATTTAACTTTTCCAAGGGGTAGAAATGATCGATTCAATCATCGATTTGCATGATAAATTGTTTGCCAGAGTAGATGATGATAATGTTATGACAAAATTAAAGTTCTGGAGAGGTCAAAATGCTCCAGCAACACTTGTAGTAAGAAGATCAACTTTATTAACAATTTAGACCGACGCGTTTCGGCTCGTGGCTTTCATCAGGGTCAGCAAAGTTAAAGTTCTGCAAAGCAGTCACAAGATGCTGATCACAGAAATGGATTCAAAGTTAAAAGTGAGCACAGTGTGGACACATTAACAGTGTTAAGAAATACTAGATAATCATGGTCATGCTGGAAATGAGCAATAATGTGCTGCATATTTCTTAAATGTATTCTTTCAGCTAGGTCAACTGTAAAGCACTTACAGTTTTGAACATGCCTCTGAATGCCATCGAAACGGTAGAAGGTTAATAAGTTGTTGGTGTTGAAGACATTGAATCATTCATTCTACCATCACTGATAATGACAGTTCATACCGATGATGACCCTTGTGAAGTTGCGCTCCTCTCCATTGTCTTCTTGGTACACCATGCTGACAAAGGCTCTGTTGGCAGCTGGCTTCCCTACAGGTGCTCCATGGATCAGATCCTTCAGAGTCTTCACACGCAGGTTGCTAGTTTTCTCTGCCAACACGAAGCTGATGGCGTCCATAAGGTTGGACTTTCCTACAGGAGAATGAAACTTTTAACAACACATCCAAATCACATCTAAAAGCACCTGTTTATAAAATGAAAATTAACTACATGAATGCTTTTATCTTATCCAAGAACTCTGGACTAATAACTCTGAAGCTAACATTTCAAAAGTACAATCAGTTTACTGCACACATTGCACAAGTTCACTTTTTCTTTAAATTTTATTTTATTTACCATCTTGTACCTTTTGCACAATTTAGAATTTATTACTGTAAATATTATTTATCTATTTTTACCTCATTTTATTTTATCTTATTTTGGTTGTTTTGCACCGCGGGACGGAGACAAACGAAATTTCGATTCCACTGTATGTCTGGCATATTTTTGAAACTGACAATAAAGTTGACTTGGACTAAATATTCATCTTATCTAGTAACATTATTTGCCCTCCAAGAGTCAAGAAACTTTGAAAAACCTGCCAGTGTTTGAAATGTTTATCCTTAATGACTTAACAGAAGAAACTCTAAAACTGTAATACGCTGTAAACAACAACACATTGCGTTAAGTCATGTAGTGGATCACTCCTGCACTGTTTTCTGTTAGCACATGCTAGCAGGCATTAGCCGCGGGTAGTTGTTTGCATCATAACATACCAGATCCATTGGGTCCGATGATCGCAGTAAACTTGTGGAAAGGTCCAATGATCTGTCTTCCTTTATAAGACTTGAAGTTTTCGATCTCTATAAGTTTTAAATACCCCATCTTCGCAATAGTTGTCGCCGCTGTTCTTAAAGATGCGTTTGATGCAAGACAGCAAAACGTTAGCTAGCGAATGCTAACACCCAAAGTTTAGCCGGAAACCTGTCTCAAAGACGAAGCGTGCACGCAAATGAATGAACCTCGACCGTTCAATCTATTTCTGGTCTATGCACGAGTCACATTATTAAGTGCATGTGTTCAGTATTTATCTAAACGGCTTCATAATCTTTTTTTCAGACAGTGGCGACGCCGTTGTGACAACAATGCGCCATTTTACAATCCAACAGGAAAACCCTCGAGCGCGCGAGGCAACTAAACCTCGTGGTTTATCGCGAGATGTGTTGCGACCAAAAGGATTGTTTTGGCCCCCTTATTCCATTTACACCAATACAGTGTGCACAGTATAAAACTACGTATTGGGAACTAAATAACACGCCAGGCGACGCAACTATTTTTTACAAGGCTATTTGGATTATTTTGGAAATTTTGGTGCGGGAAATAGAGATGTTACCATGGTTACTATTGAGGGCATCCAAACACAACAGGAGTCACACAGCGAGCGTCATTACATGTTACAGGTAGCCTGGCCTACTAGTCCCAAAACTAAAATAATTTCGTCACCTCTGTAAGATCTGAGGTAAGTGCCATTCTTATTCCCTTATTACAGACTGATTTAATACTGAATTTAGGGTTGCTTTCATTTGTATTCATATGGCCTATCCTGGCTCCAGATTTTGGTGCTATGAGTATCAGGGCCTGAAAATAACTTTATAATCTGTTTTAAGATCAATGTACCTCAACTTGTTAATGGCAATTACTTTTCGAGCATATGTTATCATACAAAGCATTGTACTACTGCTCCGTTTCCTCTCATCAGGATCATTCTGAAGCTGAGAAAATGTACAAAGTGGATTTGCCTATAGACCAGTCCATAGAAAAGGCTGTGGAAAGGAGAAGGTCTGCAGAAACAGCACGCAAAGCTCGGATTTACAACACCCGGCACCGTGTGATGGGCATTGATGTTGGAGCTCTCAACCAACAGGTCCAGGAGAAAAAACACCAGCAGAACATGGAGATGCAGCGAGACAAAGCCTTTGGTAAATTGAGGAGAGCCAGGGAGGGGTCAGAAAAAAACATCTGTTAAATCATAACTATTATTCCCCAAAGGACAAAACTCGCCCTTTAAGAATAGTCTTCTGAGATCAAGTTAGAGGACACAACTTTGTTCATTTTTTTTTTTTTGCAGATGAGCTGAGAAAAATTCATGATGAAACACTGCTGAAACAAGAAGTTGATGAAAAAGAGAAGCGAGCAGCTTTGCACACTGACCTAACCAAGTATTGGGCCAATCTTCAGCATGTGGAGGACTCCCGCGATGCTGATCTCAAGTGTGGCCTGAAGGGGGCATTCAGGATCACTATTCCAGAGGCTGAGCTGGGGCCTGCCAGCATGCAGATCTTTCAGGTAGGATCAAATGGACAGGCAGGTGTATACGCTTCGAAGACAAGTGGAGCAGAATGCAGACAAAGGTTCCATAAATAATCACGTTGCCACTGTGTTCTTGTTTCATGTACAGGGCGAGGATGTTGGAGAGGAGGAAAGGAGGAGAGAACAAATAAGACAGACAGAAAAAGACCTGCAAGCGCAGAAGGAAGATCATGAGAGAAGGCGCATGCGAGAGAAGCACAGAGGTTAAAGGATACAATATACACATACACACACAGGAACACACACATAATGTCATCCATGATGAGCTAACATGCTATACACCGTAGCCTCTGTAAGTCACACACATGCTTCATGCTTTCCTGCACAAACAATCACACCCTCCTACGCACAGCCCTTACTGCCAGGTGTCATTGATGCTCATCCCGGAGAGCTGTTATGTTTGTGTTAGTGTGTCGCTAAAGTCCTCTGTACAATACATTATGGCTAACGCAGGTGTGAAAAACATGGTAGGTGATTTCCAACTTGTGTGCGTGTGTGCGTGTGTGCGTGTGTGTGTGTGTGTGTGTCGCAGAAACACTTGTGAGCAAAGAGCTGGTGTATCAGGACCTGAGGGGGGTTCAGCTACACACACAGGAGGAAGAGTGTAGGAAAGCTACCCGTGTTGCCCTCGACAACTACAATCAAGCTCTGGTGCAGTACACACATGTTCACACACACACGCACACACACACACACACACACACCCACACACACACACACACACACCCACACACACACACACACACCCACACACACACTCCATTCGCTGATGTCAATGCTCAAAGCAAAATCCAGAGGGGTTTTGAGCCCTGACATGGTGTTCTCAGGTGGGTTTTTGAAATTAAAATGACTAATTTAAAATGTTAAGTGATGCATACACACACTTGCTGCAGGACGACGGCCTGGATATTAGCAGGTACCAAACAATATGGATGGTTAAACTGCTTTGATGTATGCGTGGGCCTTGTCTGTTTTTAAAAGCCCCAATTTAGCTCTCCCTACTCATTTGCCTGAATGCACTGAATCCTCCATAGGGATAAATCATTATAAATCCTTCAAGTCGTGGTAGCTTTCATGGCAATTATGTGGTTTCTCACACGCACAATGCACAAGCGAATACACAGGACTGAGTAGACACCCCAGGAGGACAATCAGCATAAGGCTCACTCCCTATTAGAAGTAACCACATATTAGAGGTTAGATTTTCTCTTAACTCCTTGTACTCTAATCATGAAGGCAGCGTTTCCTGGATCAGTGTTGTAAGTCCTCAGCAAGTCCTTTTCCTCATAGGCTGCAGAGCGAGCACAACACCTGAAGGAGAAGCTCAGGAGAGAGGAGAGTGAGAATCTGGCAGAGGTGTGGCACACGCTGACATCAGACATGATGACGGAGTGTGCAGAGGCAGCTGAGAGGGAGGTGGCCGAAGGGAAGCCAGCCCGGGTTCTGGTTGACAAGTGGAAGGGGATGAGACCTGAGCAGCTGAGCGCAATCCACAGGGAGAGAGAGGAACAGCGTGTGGAAAAACAGGTACTGGAGACACTCTACAAATATATTTTTAGTGCAGAATGAGTGATTACATTTGGCTCTGCTTCAAATTTCTGTTGAGTTCTGCCATTCTGCAGAACTGCTTTCAAACTGTTGTCCATGACCTTTCAACTGGAGATCTCTTAAATTAAAATTGGAGATTGATGACAAATTTCAAGAAAAATAACACAAGCCTCCAAAACATCTTCAATGCACATACCATAAAACATACCATAACCAACAAATACTTCTATTACTCTTTCTTCTCTATATGGATCAGATTTTTCTCCATCAATTTATTTTGGTATTTCCTCAAATGTATCATCCATGTCTATTTAGGTATTTGCGCAATGTACAAAATTACCTAAGTAAATAACATAAAAACTGTGATTCTATCTACAGTTTTAAACACAAACTGACAAATATGTTGAAAGATACTCAACTCAGTAACCACTGATTTGATTGCTCTCAACTTCACTAACAAAGAAGGTGTGAATGTGTGTGTGTGTGTGTGTGTGTGTGTGATGTACTGCTCTGTGTTACTTTGTGGTATGTGTGTGTTGTCGTTCAGTTTATTCAGTGCTTTTTTTACAACAGTTGTTTGACCTGCCAAACAAAAACACAAACTAGCTCAAGGCTGACTCTGTTACTATATACAGTATCAAGCGGCAACATATATGTTTAACATTGAACACCCCCTTTACAAATAACAAATAAATAATTATATATCGACAAACCCCTCTACACAGGTTGCATATCTAAAGGAAAGACTGGAGAAGAATTTCTGAAAGTATCATGCATAGCAGAAATATACTTTGTCAACTTTCTTCTCCCATTATTCAAAATTTAACATCTTAGAGTTGATTTGCAACATTTTGGTCACTATCTTCAGAGACAACGTGATGCTGAGAAGGCCCAGAATGTAGCTTGGCAACTGCATCGCCTAAAGCTGTCGAGACAAGCAGAGGAGGAGGAGAGGAGAGTGGCGCAGCTGAGGAGAGAGAAGAGGATTCAGATGGACCTCCACAACATGCAGCTGGCCAGAGAGCAGCAGGAACAGTAAGCACAACACAAACACACACACACACACACACACACACACACACACACACACACACACACACACACGCTCTCTGCCTGGAGGTCAGCAAATGTGTTCGGGTGTGGATGATAAAGTAGTGTAATTTAAAATCTGGCTTTAAAGCTTCTGTAAACAGTTTTTAGATGATTATGAAACAGACTCAGACTTGAGTAAAGGTTGATATTTCTATATTGTTTCTTTATGTGCCTGTCGACTCTACTTTGGGGTTGTTAAAATGGAAGCTAAAATGATTAATATGCCAAAGATTCATTGTGATTTTCATGTTAAACATGTAAAATAAAGAAGGATGAGATTTTGTCAGAAAAAACTACTTACACTTGGACGTTCAGCAAAGAAATAAGTCATCTTGCGCCAAAATCAACAAATCTTTAAAAGGTCCTCACAGGTGCTTTAAATAAGCTGTTTGGGAACAGTTTCTCACTGTGTTTCTGTTTGTGTGTCTTTGTGTTTCAGTCAGGGGTACCTGAAACAAGAAGCTGTACACCAACAAACCCACCAAGGATTACTTTTATCAATTCAACACGGGCTCCCGCTGACCAACACTCACCTCACACAGGCTTGTGGCAATGTGCTAATAAAATTGCCGTCTTGACTCAATGTGAATTGATTCCTGAGTAATCAATACCTGCTGCTTATTTTCAGTTGACACACACGCAGGCATTGATCTAAGCAGCTGGAAAAAAGGGACCCTTTATTGATAGTTGTTCCAGGTTCTTTATTTTTCAGTCATATATCCAGGTACAGGTGAAGAATCATAATGCAGTTACAGTTTTTGGCCCCAGTTGAAGTTGAAGTCCACCAATCACAGGTTGGTCACATTTGTCGTGATACATTTTGATACCGTTAGTCCCATTGTTTTTTTTTTTCCATCCCAAATACCACAAAGAGGCACACACTCCCTAACCCTCCTCCTCAGTCTTTTTTTCTCTCCCCCTCAGGCATTCAGTGTTTGTTGTTGTTTGAATATGCTCCTGAAAATAAACCAATTCACTGTTTAGTTGTTGTTTTTTTCATCCTTCAACTTTATAAAAGGGTAAATAAACAGTGGAAAAGCAAAGGCCAGCTTTCCCCTCGACTCATGAAAAGCACAGAGCGGGAGCGGCAGTCGAGTGAGTATCTGTGTGTGTGTACTCTCATTCCCTCATTCAAAGCTAACATTTGCCCCCAACACTGACAAACACAGATGTTTGGCAGCAGATATTCAAGTTAGAACATTGGCATCATTTGTGTCATTCATTGCTCCTGTATGAAAATAAAAATGTAAAAGCTTTTGTTTGTCCTGAGTGTGTCTGAACCAACAATAAGGAGTGTACACACACCTCTGTCAGTGCCACTAGCCTTTAGACATCCCATACTCTATCTCAGGGACTGTCAGGTGATGTTTGGCCAGTGTCAAGCTTTTATTTGTACAGGGAGAACTGAGGCAGCGACGTTGCATAAAGATACTCTCTGTGGTATGCGCAAACCGCCTCGCTGCATCTCTTCCTCTCATAACTGCATCAGACAAAAACTCCACAGATATTCACTGCACTGCATCACTACATGGTTATGGGAATGACTATGAACATAATCTTAGCTTTCACTGTAATGGAACTACCACTATCATTAAATGACACCAATGCACATTTTTTTTTATTTCATTCAATTCTGAAATGTTTGCAAACATCTAGAAAACAATGTGAACTTTTTCCCTTTTTTCATTTTTTCCCACAGCTAGGCTTGATTTTTGCTCCAAACAGCCAAACCTCCCCCCAGTCGTTAGTTGAAAAAGTTTGATTTCATAGCAACAGTACAAAAAAGAAAAAGGACAACTGGCAACATTTTAAAATTAAGCTGATGGGTTTTCAAACCTGCACACTTTTCACATTTTTATAACAAAGATGGTTGGGTTCATCAAAACGATCTTTAAGGGTAGTATTTACATTCTGCAGGGGGGAAGGGGGGTGGGGGGGGATTAACCATAACCACTCTTATGTCTCCGGTTTGTTGTAGCTCAGAGTTTTTTTTAATCAGTAGCGTGTAAATACAATGTCTGTCCAGCTTTAAAAGAATACATTCTCTGTGTTTGATGAAGATACCAACAGCTTGCCTTTATTATACATTAACTGGCATTCATTAAACCTGTCTGCAAAATCATCTTGCATTGATGAAGCTCTGAAAAATAAAACTTGGGAGAAATCTCCGCTCTCTGGTCTGTTAATATACATAAATACTGCTCCTCAGTTTGTGTAGTATGAGATGGACAGGTATGAAAAGGTTGTTAATTAGAGACAACAATGTTTTTTAATACAGTGTAGAAAGAGACAAAGACAGATACAGAAAGCTACACATAGGTCTTGACACTACAATATCATTTCAAATAATGACATTACACTTCTGGTGGGAAGGCGAGAGAGTAATGACATCAATCTGGTGCTCTATACAGACCCAGCAGGCACAGGAACTTATAAGGAGCATGTACATATCTATAATACTGTATTATGGCTAAATAGATAGATGTAGATGCAGCTATATACACCAGATGCTACTCAGCATTTTCATAGCAAGTTCCCCATATGCATCCAATGTTATTTATATTAAGAAAGTTGGCTTCAATTAGTCTTAATTAAAACAACTTGATCTATGAAATATGTCAATAAAGAGATGTCAAATGTCGTAGAAAACAATATGAAACTGTGAAGATATAAATAAAAGGTAACAAAAGGGTGTTTTGTATCCAAACACATTTTTGAAAACATTAAAAAAATGTCAGTGGCACATACAATCTGAGACATTAAATGGCGTAAGACGTACAAATCGTGCGAAATAATATAAGGCATGATAAATATCTAAGATTCAAGACTTTTTACAGCAGCATGTGCTGTCTGATTCTCCAATTCCAGCTCTATCATTATCGTCCTCTCTCAAAGCACTACTCTGCATCTCTATGGGACCACTCCTACAATCCCTGTGATGTTTCTAGCTCTACGACATTCGGTCTTTAGCTTTCCATAGAGACATCTGTGAAAGAAAAACATGAGGAGAAGGTGAGGGAAATGAATGTTAGTTGTTAAGATGTTTTGTAAACAACAGATAAAGGAGGTGGAGGGGGGGGGGGGGGACAAGGACATCTTCAGGTCGGTCAGACTTGTATCACATAGTCCACTACCTAGGACTCTCCTTTGGTCAAAATAGTCCAGTCCATCAGATGACTGCTGGGTGCATCTGAAAAGTCAACATATTGATTGTGTGTTAGTCATAAACTACAGATGAGCAGGTCAGTAGGGAACAGGAGTGTATGGGCACATATGTGTTGATGTGTTTTGGTCTCATGGCCCTCTTCTGGAGGGATTAATCAAGGATGGTGACTGAGTTGGGCATGCCGTTGGTGGCTGGGGATACAGCAGAGGGGTTGAGCGGGGAGTTGTCTGGCATGCCATGGGTTGCCTCTGGACCCTCACTGGGCCGGCTGAACTGGCTGGCCAGTGACTCGTCCATGTTGAGCTCCGTGGTGATGGCACTGCTGCCATTGAAGTCCAGGTTGTCTTCACTGCACAGCTTGCTCTCCTCACCCAGGGACGGCTGGCTTGCCGTGCGCTTCTCCTCGAGGTCACTAGAATAAGTAAGAGCACAGGTGAGATGAAGAGCAAGAAGGTTTTTATCAATGGCTTCCAACAAATTAGATACTTTTTCTTCCAAGCGAGCTGAATTAACATTTTACTTCAATAATTATCTTTAAGATCTCTGCCTAGTATTAGTGGTGTTGCATAATGTATAAATCTGCTGCTTTTCTTGGTCTTACTTTGTAGAAAAAAAATTCTTTTTAGAACATTTTTATCTCAAGGATAATGTGATGGTTCTCTTTGATCACTGGAGAAAATAATAAGCAAATAAATTGCTGACAAAATCTTTGTGTCAAATGTTAAAAGGAAGTGAGGCATTGGCATGGGGTAATTAATAAGTGGGTTTGGGATAGCATGTCACATCACAGCATACCTTTCCAGGGATCTGCATAGCAGGGGCAGGCATTAGGAAGAAGAGGAACAATGAAACGAACACAAAGGGTTAGAAAATGCAGAGGGAGTCAGGCTGTGTTAGGAGTTTGAATAATCGAAGAAAGAAACATAATGTAAAACGTAAAGAGATGATGTGCATTGAGATTACAAACCTGTACTCTCCAAAAGTCTCATCCTTCATGGGCCGGGCTTCCGAGTCCATCGGCCCCTCTTCTTTATCTTTCACTGAGAAGGAGATTATTGGATTTCATTATCGTGAGATCTCGACCATGTTTATCTCTGAGCCACTGAGTCAGACATCGATAATTACATTCTGTCGTACAGCGAGATAACACCAAGAGAATAAAAGAAGTTTATTAAGATATGTGAACTGAGAGTGTTTTTTGTTCAATGTTTGACACGTTTTTAATTTTTTTAATTTTTGAAAAGGTATGCTTTCATTGTTCTATTAGTCCTTGCTTTTAACACAGACCACTGAGTCTTCTTTAAAAGGGACCAGCAGCTTGTTTCTCCCCAGTGTGGAAGAAGATAAAATGCTGGTGCATTTATTTGACCAGTCAGTATCCTGCAGGTTGCAGTTACTCTTGTGGTTTGTGATTATCATTTCTTGTGTTTTCCCTGGCAGAGAGAGGTTTCACTATACTTGTGATATTAAGGCTGCAAGGGAGAAGGTCTGCTAGATTGAAACTGGCCAATTATTTGGAGCCACTGCAGGAATCACAGGGAAAGAAATGAAAACCGAGTGTAATCTTATTTAACTCATATCCGATAAGAATAATCTTCTTTGGTTTTGTGCCTTCATGTAACAGCTAGGTTACTTTTTTTCTTCCACAGTGTAGCTTTATCAAACAGCTGTATGGCTCCAGACTGTGAAGTGTTGCCTGCAAAGCTTGAGCAGAGTCTGACTCAGCTGTTGTTGCAGGTAGTATTAGGAGGAAGAATAGCTAAGTCCATTCTTTAAAAAAAAGTAGATTAAGGTCTTAAATATGTTGTCTTCATCACTAGACATGTTCTGTGTTATATTTTGGCATCTCTCCTGATTGACACTTGTGACTAAGGGCTTCACTTGCCTGAATACTTCCCTCCTTTACTCCTCTTGATGAAGCAGAGGATGAGCAGTATCAGCAGCAGCAGCACGATGGCGCTCACAAGACCAATGAACCAACCCTGTGTGGCAATGCTTGGCTGCACCTCTGTCACCGCTTCCGAGGGGGGGAAAAGACAGATGAGGGAAAAATCCAAAGTAAGTTTTTTTTGCATTAGGAAAAAAGGATGAAAGTACAAGAGGAGAGGAAAGGATGAGATAGGTAGGATAAAAGAGGGAGCAGAATCTAGAGCAAAAGAGACAGAGCATTATGCATTCTGACAAGGGTGGCATTTCACTTGGGGGCCAAAGAAAAATGCACCAAACAAACATGAGTAATGGATTATTTTAATACGTGCTAACCAAGCTCTCTTTTCATATACGTTTTTGAAAGCACTTCACAGGCAGTTGAGAGAACTGCACGACACTCTCAGTAGGATCAGCTTTATATTTAGATGTGGGGAGCCCAGAGGAGAGAGCCGAGAAGATGAAAGGAAAGAGGATGAATGGAGGCTCATAGTACCTGTTCCTGTTGTGTCAATCGTAGGTTCCCAGAAACTGGTGTTGCTGTAAATGAAGCGCAGACGGTAATGAGAGCCAGGAGTGAGGCCCTGGAGCTGGTAGAAAGATTG